TTTGGCACTTTTTAGTTGTACGACATGCACGTGCGAGTGAGGCAGGCTATTGCTCTAGCCAATATAACAATCGACATGTTAACCAGCTTTTCTACACGACGGCTGGCTCCGCCCGCCCGCCAACCAAACCTGTCTATCTGCTGCTGCAGCCGTCGTTCCCGCTTTAAGAGCACTCGTGGTTTTCTTCGAGAAAAGTGTCCTTAAAAAAGCGGGCAAGTCATTGAACTATCGCCCTCCCGATGGTTTTCATTCTGCGGGGCACCGTGGTTTTGAATGAAAACAATGGTAGGTCCTTTCCGCGGGAACGGCTGTGGTTTCTCTTGGAGGACATTGTTGCTGTAGACGTCTGGCGAAACTGGCAGCGGTACGCCGCGAGTCTTCAAAAGCACCAGAGGAGGACAAAAATGACGCACACGTTAGTGTTGATGGTATCATCTGTTCAAACAAGCAACGGCGCGTCCGCAAGTAACATACCTGGCTCCCGAAGAGCACCTTGCTTGGCCGCGCTTTCCTAGAAGTAGCGGCAGCTCAATCGTAGTGTTTGGCGTTCCACCAGGGACTCCCTTCGCGAGCTCCTTATCTTTTCAATCGAAGAACCGTAGGTGGGTGGAGGCAACGAAAGCTCTTCGCGCGCACGCTGCTGGGCGGCCATCCCCCGACTGAAAGCGATTGCTCGTGAATTCGGTCACCACGCCGTAGTTCGCTCCCCCTCTCAAAAGCCGCATGCACGCGCTTGTGTGTCGGTCCCTTCTTTCATGCGAGCTTAGTTAGGCTTTCGGTTCAATAAATCACCACGTTTCCACGCTCGAAAAAAAGTGTAAAACGCCAAAGGAAATGGGCGACACCATTCGAGGGTGTCACATCCGCGCCTCACTGCCTTCTTACTCCATTCGTCGAAACATTCCACGCACACAGGGGCGGCGGCAACGGCAGAAGCAGCAGAGACGTGGTAGCAGTACACGGCAAGACGATTTTCGCGCGTGGCAGCACAGTGTTTGCTCTGCTCTTGCCATTATTTCTGGGCTCCACGCGCCGATACAACGTTGGTACAAAATCCGTGAAATCATTCCAGACAACAACAAAAAAAATGTTTATTTCACTCAATGCATTCATTACTGACGACCCTCGCCACTACTTCTAATGTTTCCATCACGTGTCACAACAATACGGTAAATAAAGTCGCGCGCTACTCTCACAAACATGGCGCAGAGGCAGCAGCAGCAGCATCAATGAGTTTGTTATTCGAGCACCGTGTTTCCACTGCGAGCATGATGACGACAGCAGCACTACCATGTAGTTTAGTTTCCCACGAAATCGTCGCGCATCGCCCCCCCCCCCCCCCCCCCCTTTTTTCCTT